GGATTGACATGATGAAAGCTGAGTCGAAAAGCTATCTGGCAGCAATGTGCAGAACACAGTGAAACAGAAGGTCTGGTCTTGGGAGTTTACAATGAGGAATAAAAGCCAGACAAAGCCGGAGACAGTGCAAACTCAGGCAACAGGTTTGTAGCAAGCATGTACGAAGTCCTGGACACTGTTCTAGAATTGGAATACAGTCAAGAAGGAGAGACACACAGATCCCCATCCTTGGGGAATTCACCTTCTAGAAGGAGAGGAAACAGATTGAAGAATTTGACTTTTCATGAATTAGTGCCTCATTTTACCCTGTAAGAGGTGTGAGGAAATTTACAAAAATACATCCACTCAGAATGATAAAAATAAGTGATTTTACCTATTGCCCTGGACATCATCCTTTCTTTAGATTAAATGGTGAGTTCCCTATGGCTGACCTTACAAAGTCACTCAGAGTTAGCTTACTGCCTAGCACCAAAGCAAGGCTAGACAAAGGTATTTGCAAAAAGAACACAAGTGACTAGTTCCCAGTGTGTAGCACCGTGAAGGTTTTGATGGTTTGATTCAGATACTGAGTAATGGTGGCAAATGGGCTGGAGTCTCGATTGGGCTCATGGAGAGTTGGTTTGCTTGGCATCACGCCTGGTCCTTGAGAGGAGGGCTGTGCTCTAGAATGTGCTACAGTCTGCACCCCACCCTCCACATTCATGTCACCTGTGTTGCCCTTGAAGGCATTAGAGCTTGGGACTGCCAAGAGAGGATCGAGGGTCCACCAGGAATCCCAACAGATTTTTCACAACAGAGGTTTTTGAGAGTAATTAATCTTAAAAGAATTTGAGGTGGGGGTAATTTTTGGCAAAGAGGGAAGTCATGAATTTGCCTTCAACTGACCACTGAGATATGCTTTGATCATGAATAGAGCAGAGGGTAGGGTTAAGGCCTATTGTAAAAGTTTAAGATATAAGCCAGAAGATTTTAAAAAATACAGGGATGTATCTTGAGACAGGGACACAACATTTTAAGGGACCATGCCTAGAACTTTGTGACTGGATATGGTTAGGCTGGGATGGAGAGAGATACGGTAGGAAAGTAAAGGGAAAAGGGAAGTACAAAATAAGATTTTGAGGCTGGACAATGGGGCAATGATGTATAAGAAGGTTAGGGCTCGAATCACATGAGGTCAGGAGTTCGAGACTAGCCTGGCCAACATGGTGAAACTCCATCCCTATTAAAACTACAAAAATTAGCTGGGCATGGTGGTGCAGGCCTAAAATCCCAGCTACTTGGGAAGCTGAGGCAGGAGAATCGCTGGAACACAGGAGGTGGAGGTTGCAATGAGATTGTGCCACCACAGTACTCCAGCTTGGATGACAGAGTAGGACTCTGTCTAAAAAAAAAAAACACATTAGGGCAAAGAGAGAAGGCTAGGAGGAGGTTGACAGCTTGGGTTTTAGATGTAACTGAGGAGTAATGGTGAAATATCTGCATAGCAGAGTTCACTAGGAAGTCAGCACTTCAGAGATGGAGAGGACAGGGCCAGGAAGGGAATAGGAAGAGGTGCCCTCACAGAAGTAAGAGCTGATGACAGGAAAATAATGAGAATAATGAGTTCTCAAAAGGAGAATAAAGCAGAGAGGGTAAGTGCTTTAGGCTGGAGAGATGCTCATGGTTTGGGGGGCTGACAGAGGAAGAAGAACAGCTGTAAAGGAATAGAAGAAACAATGGGAGAAGCCTGCCACCACAACCATCATTGGAGAACAGATACAAGGTGTAGGAGTGGCCAAATGGGTGAGATCAAGAACAAACATAGAGGGGGAAGAGGTATGGATCAGGCAGTAGAAAGGTCACGTGTCAGCTCTGAGACAGGTATTAGTGCAATCAGGCAGAAGTTGGGAGATAAGAGGAAATGGATAGGAAAAAGATGCATTTCTATAGGAGTTGGGGTGTGAAAGAGGAATGGGCCAGGTTTGCTGGAGAGAATAAGAGAGAGTGCAAGCTTGGCACCCAGCCCTTAGATCCAGGGTAGCTTGGTCTATTTCCCTGCTGGGCCAGTACCCTCCATGCTAAAAGGTGGGATTTAGCAGGGTCTAGATATGCTAGGCAGCACTTCTGCCATGCCAGGGCCTGCCTCCCTCCCTGTGGAAGGCTAGGGTTAGGGCTGTAGCTGTACTAGGGGATCTGGGAGTCCTTCATGGCACTATGGGACCCAGAATGTGTTCAGACCCCCAGATCACCAGGACACCTAGGCTCTGCTGTGTCTCCATAGGCCTTTGCCCTGACTTAGGCTGAGGACTTTGGGTATAAGACTGGCATTTCCTTATGCTGAGGTTGGTGGGGCACTGAATGAAGATGTTAGTAGGCTCCATGTAGCACAGGCACACAGGCCTAGTGTATCAAGTGGTCAGAGACCCTGCTTGGTGCCAGGCCAACGTGGGATGCCTGAGCAGGCAGAGAACACTCTGCAAATAACAATGGTGGGACTCAAGGAAATGACCCTCAGAAGGCAGTGGAGACCCAGGCATTTGAGATGGTCTGAAATGCATAGTACCTGACGACTGTGCGCATGTGTGTGTACGTTTGGGGGTGAGGGGAGGGTATTACTGGCTGAGGGGATGTATAAACAGCCTCTGTGAAGCTCTAGGACCTTCCTATATTCCTGTACTGCTATTTGAAGGCTTCTGTTCAACCTACCTGTGTGGCCCATTAGAATGCCCCACTGAACAGGAAAACCAACATGCAGTCAGGAGAGAATCTCAAAGGACCTTTCTAGTTGTGGCACTCAGAAGTCCATAAAGCTTAATCTTTAAAAGGAATCATTCTAAATAGCCCAGGATTGAACATAAATGAAAAGTCCATGCGTGTGGAGAATAAATCCCATAATAGGTAGCAAAATGGCATGATAAAGAGCACGGGCTCTGGAGACAGAGCCCCTAGGCTCCAATTCCAGCTGTGTCACATATGAGCTGGGTGCCCTAGAGCAAGCTGCTTAACTTGCTAAATGCGAGATTTTAAGTGTTTTCTTTCTTTGTAAAAAGAAACTAAGAGGTTTTAAAAGTTCTTGCCTACTTTTCTTTGCATAACTTATGATGATACTGAGGGAGCATCTTTTCTATGCCAGTGAATTGCCATAGTCCTTTATAAATGTGCATCGGCCTCCAACATCTTACACTCTTTGCTTTCAATGTTGTGAAATACCTCTGAGAGTTCCTTTAATGTGAAGTTTTTTGCTGGCATCACCTCCTGTGGGACATCTTCATCCTTTCTGTCGCAACTACTTTCCTCATTTATGCTTTGAACAATGGTTTCAGGTTACATCAACATAAATTGAAATTTCAAGGGTCCCGGCTGTCAGAAAGTCATATAGAGCTTACTCAGAACGATGTCAAATTCTGCTCTAGACATTTAAAACCTCAACCTGTTAAAAATAGCTTGTCATCAGCAAAGGAGCCAGATGATAACAGTCACAAGGCTGACTTTTTAGTCTCAACTTAAATATATTAAAAAATGACAACAAGACTGTTCAACATAAGCACAGGCATTTTCAGTGCCCTGCACCCAAGCATTAATGATTAGTTAAATGGTAGAATGATATAAACAAAATGATGAAGCAACTGGATAAATATAACTATGTTGTAAAATTTTTGTAGTTGCCAGAAAACAGTCTTTGGACTTTAAGATCTCATATAGCTCAGAGGAGAAATAGAATTACATATTCCTTAAGAATCTGATGAAAGTTATGGCCTTTCTCCCCTAGAATGTGCACATGAGCTGATAAAATATTTTATGCAGTGTTTCAGGGAATCCACAGAGCCCCTGATATCCAATTAGAAGCCCTGGCTATGAATCAAGAATTTCATTGCTAGGTGAAACCCAGCCCATGTCTGCTTGAGAACCATTGCAAGTCCTGAAAATTGTAGGTACTATCTAAATAAAGGCAAACATTTGAGCATGTCATCTGCCACTGAAAAAGCATTTAATGATGCATCTTTCCTCACTATACAAGTTTGTTCAACCTACACCTCTTCAGCTACAATCTACCTACCAACCCGGAAACTCTGTTCTAAGAGTAAAGGTATTACAAAACCTTGCTGAAAAAGACAGATTCAATGGCATGTTGTTGAAAAACACAGGAGAACCAGCACATCCAACTGAAAATTGGTTGGCTCGCACAGGATGTTAGCGGCTCTTTGAGTGAGGTTGCTGAGTGGCACCTGAGCCTATTTCTGTGGCATCCTATTCCGCCTGTCCTCTCTTTCTCCTTCCCCATTCCTTTCTTTCTCTTCTCCCTTTATTCTTCCTCTGCAATTCTTTTTTTCCCACACTACTGTTGGCATTGGTCCCTAGGGACACTGCTAAATCAGGCCCATAGTGCAAGAGACTTTAGATCTTCATTAAAGTCACTAGAGATGCCCTGAGTTAGTCACTTTGAATTCAACAGATGAACTGATGGAAGGCTCTGAGAAGATCTCAGCAATGCCCAAGAAATGTGTTCTTACTGTAGAAACTTACTATTTTGATCAAAAAAGTAATTTTGGTCAAAAAAGGGAGTTGGGGGATTGCTTTTTTTTGTTTGTTTTGTTTTTATTTTAAGTTGATTTGGCTTGAAGGGAAGATTGCCTAAACAAAACCTGCTGATGAAGTCACAAAAGTACTCCACCTCTGGAATGAGCTTTGTTTTCTTATATTTTGGCAAGAAATTTCGCTTTCAATTGGGAATGCATGTCACTCTACCCACTCAAGGGCAAGATGATAAGGTTCTATCAGAACAAGCGTCTAAAGGAACCTGAGACTCTACCAAGGTCAGAAATGCTGCAATTCAAGCCAAAAGATCTTTCTTGGGCTTCCGTGTTTTGACTTGTAACCATAAATTAGTCTTGTCTAAATGTCAGATCACATTATAAAACACTAAGTGAATCTGTGCTGTACAGCACCCTCTGAAGCCACGGGAGTTATAGATGAACCTTTTAGGGGATTCTGTAATTTTTCTGCCCCTTTGATTTCCACAGGACTCTAAATTGCCTTCTCTGAGGTAAAGGAACACAAGATGGTTTTGGAAATGCTGAACCCGATGCATTATAACATCACCAGCATGGTGCCTGAAGCCATGCCTGCTGCCACCATGCCAATCCTGCTGCTCACTGGCCTTTTTCTCTTGGTGTGGAATTATGAGGGCACATCCTCAATACCAGGTAAGTCAGTCATTTATTTCTGTATCTAAGAAGGTTATTTACTTGGGCTTTTGGTCCATGATGGTAAAGAAAATTTTGCAAAAGGACAAAAAGCAAACCTGGAAAGATCTCTGAAGACTATGGCCATGTTAGCAATTGAGGACTTGGGTGAAAATGTTCAGATTAATTATCTGCACATGTTAAATGAAAGCACTTAAAAAATATCTTAGATAATCCCTTCCAGTCTGCACTCTGCTTTGGTAAAGTAGACGTGGCACAAATACCCTTTAAAACAAGCTGAAGATGGGATGGGATAAAGTAAAATTCTGGGGTTTTCTGGTTAACTTTTAAAAATAGATTGCAATTTTGTTCTGAAGGTGAAAATGTCTCTGGAATGCCTTCTCTACTGCGTTCCTTCTCTCTCTCACTCTGCTTCCTCCATGTCCCCTCTTTGTCTGGTATGTATCCCTTCTCTTTATTCCACTCATCATTTTCTCTTATTCTTGGGAATGTGGTGATAGTGGTCCCCATTTTTCTCCCACTGCCCGGCTCCCATAGGGTTGAATGGTATCCAGGCAGTGAGAGAAAAATGGGGACCACTCCAATGCTCTTGGAATATCACACCCCGTTAGAATCTTCAACAAGATCTGTGGGTCAATCAAATGTGGTGAATAATATAATTATCCAGATAATCCCAATAGAAAACCCTTATCCCTCCACCATTAATGCTGCAATGATCAGATATCAGATTATTCAGAATGATCTGTAATTTCAGACTGCTTCTTTAGTTTTCAGTGAAAATGCCTCACTGCAGACAAACCTATTCTCAATTCCATAAGATATATGATGAGACTTTAAGACTATACTTATTACACACTGGTAAGTGTGGTGGGCCTCATCTCAGTGGGATCAGAATGGGAGCGCGGGGCTGGCACAAAATGCTCTGTGTCTGGATTCTTTTTAACATTCCAAATAATTGCCTCTTTGCCTGATTCAGCCTGATATTTTACTTCAATGCCCAGCTTAAAGGAACATTTAGTTAATTTTGTTTTCTGCTCCCTGACAGGGTCAACTCCAGAAAAGGCAGGCTCAGAGCTAAGGGATGACTGTTTCATGGTCTTTAACTTGAATTCTCTTTCCCAGTGTGGCCCTTCCTCACTGGATTTCTCCTCTCCCAAGGGGACTTCTAGGTCAGGGTCAGTGAATGGTCACAGTGGGGTGAGTAGGTAGGGGGTGTGAAACACATTTTCCTCTTCTTCCCTTCATAGGCCCAGGTGCCGAATTCTAATTTGTCTGTATTATCAGAGAATCAGGCCAGGAGAGTCCAGCACTGCCCACGCAGCATTGCTCATCCAGTGAGCCACAGCTTCTCAAGCTTTTAGTCTATGTAAGAACACCTAGGAGGTAGGAACTTGTTAAAATTTCTGTCCCTGGGCCCTGCTCCTGACTTTTTGAATCAGACTCTTCAGGCCTAGAAACATGCATTTTAAAAAAGTCCCCCCAGCTGCTAAGGCTAATCAGCACTGGTGGAATTTCCTGGGACCCTTGACCAAGGAGGTCAGCCTGTTGGGGACAAGCCTGAGAACCAGCAGCCCTGAAGCTCTGGATCCATGGGAGAGTAGGCAGCACCTCACTCTGTCCAGCACTTCTGGGCCAGGGCCATGAAGCTGCATCCACTGACAGTCAGAACGAGTAGCACAGTGATTCTCAGCACTCTCTAAGGTAGGGTCTCAGCTAGTTTTGGGTTGCTTTTTTTTTTTTTAAATCTTCCCTCCTGATTTTTCATCAGCAGCCAAGGTTGAGAGCCACAGATATGAGCCTAACCCCTGCATTTGGCAGAACGTGAAACTGAGACCCAGGGAGCTGATCTGCCTTGCCCAGGCAAAGTGCTTTGACAAGCATGAGAAGCCACAGAGTTCAAACTCCTCGTTTTACAAGTGAAGGGTTAAAGGCCAGAGAAAGGAAATGGCTTGTCAGCTCACCAGCTGGACAGAAAGTGGGAACACAGGGGGACCACCGGGAAGTCCTAAAGCCCAGGTTGATGATCATTTTGCTAGCCAGGTAGTTTCTAGTTTCACACTTGGAAAGCAGAAGGTCTAGTTAGAATCCGCTAGTGGCACAGGCTGTCAGATCCTGTGGTTTCTGGTTGTGGGAGGGAAGGTAAGAAAATTGGCCTTGTTTAGGGTGGTTTTGCTAATCAATGCTCTTGAGCTCCTGCCAGCTCCCTCAAATCAGTGCCTCTCCAGGTTCTCGGTTTTAAGGTTTGGGGGAAGCTCAGAGTCAAGAAAACTCAGGGCCAGTGAAAGCTGGGGGGACTTAAGAACTTATAATGATGTAAAGCCCTTAAGTGAGTTATAATTTACAAAGCAGTTGTTTCATGCCCATTTTCTCCAGTGAGATTGGTGTGTTTGTATCTGTTTTGTCGATGACAAAACTGAGAATCAAAGAGTTGCACAACTAATAAGTGATGAAGCTGGGCTCATAACTAAGCTGCTTCTGTGGGTATTTACTGAGAAGCCCTGTTCTCCAGCTAAGGGAAGGGAGGGGGTGTGAGAAGATGAAAGAGATGCAGTTTCTGCCCCGAGGGGATTATATACAAATGGTAAAATCAGTCAGGGACACACACCTAGGTGGTTGACTGGACTTAGTGCCAGGTAGGGGCTATGAAAGTCCTGAGGAAAGGGTCATTCCTGTCGGGGAGGAGGAGTGGCTAGGGGGGCGGAGTTGGGAGCTTTAGTTCTGAAACATTGCCCCAAGTCTACTGATCTGGGTCAGGACTCACAAACACCTGGCACTGGCAACTTTCCTTTCCCCAAGGACATAGAGCCATCCCCAACTCTGAACAAGGGTACTCTCCCTCCAGATGCCACACTCTGCCCTGGGTGCCACATCCCAGAGCAGAGCACTAGGGGAAAAAGAAAAGCATGGCAACTGACATTCCTCTTTTTCTTGTTAAGACAATATTTCACAGGAAAGTGCACAGTGCAGTGATAAATTTGCCATCACAGGGCAGCCCGAGAAAGAAGATGTTATCCTTGTTCCAGAAGCTCCTCGTGTGCCTTTGCAATCACTCTCTCCCTCACTCCAGAGCAAAACACTGTTTTTGAAATACTCTGATTTTGTGACAGTCACTCCCTTGTTTTTTATAATTTTGCCATATAATTTCACATCCCCAGACAATACAGGTAAATTTTGCCTTGTTTTAAACATTTTAGCAGTCAATTCATACATTATGTATTCTTTTATCTTGCTTCTTTTCCTCAACAGTATAGTTGTAGGATTCATCCACATTGCAGCATGCAGGCAGAGTTCATTTTCATTGCCATAGGTATTGAGTTATATAAATATCTCATGGTTTAATTGTCATCTCCACTGTTGAGAGATACTTGAAGTGTCTTTAGTTTGAGGCTGTTGTGAACAGGGCTGTTCTGAATGTATATGTGCACACAGGTTTCTCTATGGTGTTGGACAGCTGGGGAGAGGTCCCAGCTGTTGGCTCCAAGGAGGTTGTCTCTGTACAAAAATGCAGCAAAGTATTTACTGCTTCTTTTAGGGTATGAAAGAGGCTCCCGCAATCACTGCCTGCCTAGATAAGCATTCCCAAATCTGAGAAGCAGAGAGCAGCTTAACGTGGATATGACCAGAATATTTCCCTAATATTTTATCAAAGTCTCTACCTTCCTCCAACATTCTCCTCTCCAGCTGGAGGGTGGGTGGGGGGCATAAGATATAAGTAAAAAGGTAACACTGTATTAAAATTCTTTTATTTTTAATTATTTTTCACACACTCTCCTCTCCTGCCCCCAGACTCTGATGGGGACCATTATACTTATAATGTCTCCAGTTCCTAATTTGGAGTTAGTTTCTATACCAGTAGTATCTATACCAGTGTTTGCTGGATGAATTAAGCTGATATACAACTGGTCACTAAGAACTCAAAACTCTGGTTCTCTTCTGGTTAGAACATTCAGGTTCTTAATCTAAGCACAGGGTTCAATCTCCCTTTTTTAGTAGATACATCTCTCCTGCGTCATAGCTTACATTTGAATGGCAGGTGGCAAATATTAAGATTCTTTACATGGCGGGCTGGGGGTGGTGGCTCGCGCCTGTAGTCCCAACTACTCAGGAGGCTGAGGCAGGAGAATCTCTTGAACCTGGGAGGCAGAGGTTGCAGTAAGCTGAGACAGCACCCGTGCACTCCAGCCTGGGCAACAGAGCGAGACTCTGCCTCAAAAAAAAAAAAGGATGGCATTTAAAACTTCATCCTTTATATTAGATACACATGCCTAATTAATTTTTGAAATTTATTCAGGAAACATTTGTTGAGCATCTACAGTGTGCCAAGCTATAAATATCCAGTAAGGTATTATATTATGCATATATTAATTGATTAAAGGTTAATATATCTAATGACAGTTTAAGGAAATACATATTCAATCAAATCTGCTATGGAAATCTTTTAAAGAGCTTAATAGAATTATTTTAATACAAAGTCAGTCATCTACTGTGTAATGTAGTGTTACTAAAATAATCACAAGATTAGTAACCTTAGGCCATATTTTGGTTCCATAAGTATTAACAAAGATCGTCTATTTAAAGGGAAAAATGAGCTGACAGTCTTACTCATATTAGCTATTGCAAAGTAAAAGACTAACACTGTTTGCTGTGTTTGGGACTAAACATCCAATTCAGATGATTGAAGCAAAAGCTCCTGCTATGTAGATTATTACACAATTCTTGCCCATAAGGTGAGAATGCTATCTCACGTAGTTAGGTGTGTTTTGGCTTCAGAATGATTTCACTGACAGAATGGAATTAGAGAAAGATTTAGAAAAACTACAACCTGACAATTCTGAAAAACATCCTAAAACTTTTTAATCTAACTTTTTACCACCACCAGTAAAATCAAACTACCAAGTTTGTTCTCTGATAAAAGCAACAGTAAATTCCCTAGTTGTTCCCTGGATTCATGTTCTTTACAATTCTGCCATTCTCTGCATAAGAAAGGTTGCTAAGTGGCCACTACCTTTGGCTAAAACTAGATCATGGGACACAAACTCCGGTATAGAGGCTGAAAGACCCATCGCCTGACTCCTCAACTCTTATCTTTATTTTGCCTAAGAGATTTAGCTTAAGAACCTTTCTTAAATGGAGTCTTTTTTGAGGGGAATAAAAGAAATAGATGGGCCAGGTGTGGTGGCTCACACCTTTAATCTCAGCACTTTGGGAGGCCGAGGTGGGTGGATCATCAGGTCAGAAGTTCAAGACCAGCCTGGCCAAGATCGTGAAACTATCTCTGCTAAAAATACAAAAATTAGCCGGGTGTAGTGGCAGGCACCTATAATCCCAGCTACTCAGGAGGCTGAGGCAGAGAATTGCTTGAACCCAGGAGCCGAGATCATGCCACTGCACTCCAGCCTGGGCAGCAGAGTGAGACTCAGTCTCAAAAAAAAAAAAAAGAAAAAAGAAATAGATGTTCTTGGATTGGACATTCTCTTTGTAGATCTTGTTTCTTTCAGTTGAAAGATTTCCTACAAAACTGCAGACCAGTTTTAACCCACCCATTCTGTCAACTGGGGCACTCAAATTGAAAGTTTCCAGAAAAAACAAGGCACCAAACAGATCTGCTGGCTTGTCACTTGTCAGTGTTTCCATGTTTGCTACCAAACACACCAATTGACTTGTATTCAAAACTCACTAACACCAGTTAACATGGGAAGAAATTAGCACAGACACCCAAGTTCATTCAGACTGAAATGATTGATACCAAATAAAACTAGTGTGGCGTGGACACTGAACTCCTTTTTATTCATGGAGGGGAGAAGTGCCTCATGTTAAGTGTGAGGCTTTTGTTTTGTTTCACTTCATTCGTGATTCACAGATACACATCAGAGATAAAGAACATTTAGCTATAAAAGAAAAAAAAAAAAAACAGGCGCGACACAAAGCAGTTGCTATTTTTGGTATGGCTAAGATGCTTATTCTGCTGTGATGCATGTCCTAGGTCCCGGCTACTGCATGGGAATTGGACCCCTTATCTCCCACGGCAGATTCCTGTGGATGGGGATCGGCAATGCCTGCAACTACTACAACCGGATGTATGGAGAATTCATGAGAGTCTGGATCTCTGGAGAGGAAACACTCATTATCAGCAAGTGAGTCTGTTCGTAATCGAAGACGTACTTTTTAAATTGATGCTGGAGTTTTTTCCACTTAGGACAATTTTATTTTGAATCTTGATGTATTTGTTTCTGACGCTATATTTTTACCACTGAAATGAAGGTGAACAATCCCCAGAAATCTAACATTGCACACGGAATAATTGGGTTTTGCTTGAATTGAAGCCAGCGGTACATAAATAAAGAACTCTGGAAAGCTGGGAAATTATTTAAAATCTCTGTCATCAGTGAATGTGGAAACTTAGAAGCCACATAATTTGATTTTGACAAAACATACTCTTTTCTGTTTTTCCAAGTTTTTTGGTCTTAACCACAAATAAACATTAAAAAGAACCAAGCCAAACAAACAAACAAAAACAACCACAGAAAACAAAAAAAAGCCCAAGACACCACTGCACTACAGTCTGTGTCACAGAGCAAGACCCTGTCTTTTTAAAATGAAATAAAACCTGAGACAGAGGTATCTGGTTAGCAATTTGCTATTCTCCCGCCAAGCAACTGGGCACCTCTAAAAGAGCAGACAGTAAGCTGACCTTGGCTGAATCCGATTAAAGAAAAAAAAAGAAAAGAAATAAAAGAACGGACGGTAGAAAAAGAAGTCATTCACATGCTGCTCTCCCATTTATGACTTTCTGCCAGTATCCCAGCAGAGTGATCTTACATAAATCAGGAACAATATTACTCATTTAAAAAAATAGTGTCCTCCCTCTCTGCATTGTTATATTTTGTGGATGACAAGCAGATTGAATTAGTTCTATGGTTAACGAAATAGGAATTGACTATAAACAACTAGTTTGGTAGAACACTTGTTTTCTTGTTTATTGATCTTAGAAAATGGAGAATTTCAAAGATGGCATATTTCCCTAGACGTTCAGCTATCTTCAGTAGACTTTTAGCAAAGCTATCTGCAAACATTGTCTCAATACATTCTTATATTTGTAATTTGTAACAGAACTTCACCCACAAACTAAAGCTGACCAGGGTGTCTTCCAATTTGTTAGAATTATTCATTCAGATACAAAGACTATAGCTCAAAAGTAAGTGAAGCTTTTCTAGAAACTATGTAATTTTTTCAGGTCAGGATTACATACATAAAATACCATGTCGTAAACTACTACATCTTATAAAATACTATGATATCCTCAAAGCCCAAATATTTGAAGCAGATACTGAAAGAAGGGAGCAGGGGAGAAATCAGTATTATATGAATACTTCCAAATATTTCAAACTACCCCAAAATTTTTTTGGGCCTGGGCTTTTTCGGTTTGTTTCATTCCGTTTTGTGTTGTAACACTTTTAAGAGTAGCTAAGGCATACCTCACTTACACAACTAAACAGAAATGGCTTCAGGTGGAAACATCATTTCACTGGGTTCATTGTGAAATACTCTAATGCAGTAGTTTTCAAAGTGTGGTCCCTCAAGGAGCAGGATCAACATGCCTGGGAACTTGTTAGCAATGCACATTCTTGGGCCCCACCCTGACCTACTAAGTGAGACAGTCTGGGGTAGGACACGCAATCCGTGTTTTTTTGTTTTTGGTTTTTGTTTTTTTTGAGACAGAGTTTCACTCCTGTCGCCCTGGCTGGAGTGCAATGGCACAATCTCGGCTCACTGCAACCTCCGCCTCCTGGATTCAAGCAATTTTCCTGCCTCAGCCTCCTGAGTAGCTGGGATTACAGGCATATACCACCATGCCTGGCCAATTTTGTATTTTTAGTAGAGACAGGGTTTCTCCATGTTGGTCAGGCTGGCCTTGAACTCCTGACCTTAGGTGATCTACATGCAGGTGATTGTGCTGCACACCTGAGTTTGAGAACCACTGCTCTAAGAACTAGATCATAATTAATTACTTTTTTATTTACTTCTCCTGGTCTATTAGGCTGTAGTCAGCCAAACTGAAGTGAGAATATGTTTTTGATATGTTCTCATTTAAAAAATCAGTACTTGAGTCACTTTTACAACTGGCTACGGTCTCACAAATATCCCAGAAGCACTGGTGTTTGGGTTTGGGGGTAGGGACATTTGCTGCTGCTCTTTCATTTCCCCCCACAGCCACCTGCCTTCCAGCTCTCCCCAGCCCAGAGTCTGCTTTCCCCATCACCTCTTTCCCTCAGCAGACAGGTGAGGTGACCCTCAGATATTTATCTAGAAGCATATCTACCTGCAGTCCAAGATCTAGTGCAGTACCTCTCACCCTGGCTGTACCTTAGAGCCACCCAGGGAGCTTTTCAAAGCCCCACTGCCCAGACCATACCCCTACTTTTAGTTCAGAACCTCTCGGGGTAGGACCCAGGCATCAGTAGTGTTTAATAATCCCCAGGTGATCCCAAGGTACCGCTGAGTTTGAGAACATTCCATCTAGAGAGGGGGTAGAGGAGGAAGCTCCTGGGGCAGAAGGGCCTCTCCTTGGGGTGAGGGAAACAATGATGCAGGTTTGGTTTTGTCTTATGCTCAGATGGTGGAGGTGTGAGACTAGAAATGGAGTAAAGAATGATGGACTTGAGAAAGGACCACAGTACCCAGACAGAAATCATTTTGAAATACTAGATATTTTGATGCTAGATTCTTAGGTCTCCAGCAAAATTCCCCAAATTTCCAAAGACAATTCCTGAAAGTGGTTGTTTCTTACAGTGGGGGTGGCATCTGACCACTCTGCTTGTCTAAATTAGGAAAGTGACTCCAACAACCCCCACCAAGTCAGGGCTGGTGCACACCGAGACGCAGCCACAACCCATCCAACCTATCCCCAGCTCTCCTAGTTCTTTCTTTGTTCTGCCCTCTCAGGCTTTTCACTTGTCGGAGTCTTTGTGTTCTCCTTAATTGCCTCAGAGCAGCTCAATTTTGCTGTTAAAGGCTGAGCTCCCCTCAGGAATAGGACATGTTTTTCCCCATCTCCTTTCCTTGCCTGCTCTTCAAGTCTCTTCCAGAACTCCCCGTACCTCTTGAAAATACCCCATTGGACCTCACAAAGATTTTTATTTTTATTTGAATAGTTTGCCAGATTTTTTTCTTTAGAAATGTTTGAGGTCTATAGTCATTACAACTGTGTAGAAATTACGGTGCAACTTTTCCTCTAGCTTTGTCCCAAGACAGTGGGGGCTGCAGAACTTCAGGGGAGAAATCAGGCATGTGCACTGCTGAGATGCTGCCTGCACCACTGGGGGCCTTGGAGGTATGGTCCAACTGGTGAACTATAGATGATGTGTGCTGGGTTCCCCCAGGCCGCTACCCAGGCAGCTGTGCTCTAAATTAATGAGGGTCTATAGGTGCTGCATATGACACTATATGTCCATTATATGTCCCTAGATTGCTTTTTGTCATGAATACAAAAAAAAATGTAGCACTCATAAAGGGAAATTAGCAATTAGCAGGCTAATCTGGGTTATATTTGCATATCTGTCAGCAAATAACATACTAATTAGGGTTACATTTTTATACCTGTCTTGATGTGCAAATTTACACATCATTTACAGGGGTTTCCTTCATTTATTCTTTGAACATACATTTACTGAGAATGTATTATATACTAAGCACTGAATGATTCTAAGTTATAATAGTCATTACTGGCTCTCCATTCATCCATTAAATATTTACTGAAAACTTACTATGTATAGCAGGTATTGTTCTAAGCTCTGGGAATGCAGCAGTAAACAAACCAGCCAAAATTCCTTACTCTCATGGAGCAATATGTTGTTAAGTGTGTCAACAAGAAACAAGTAAAGTACATAGTGTATCAGCAGGGTGACCAATTGTTTCAGTTTGCCTGGGACCAGGGCATTTCCGGGATGTGGGACTTTCAGTGCTAAAACTGGCATAGTCCTGGGCAAACCAGGAGAGTTGATCACACTATTATCAGGCAGAGAGGTGTTACATAGAAAGAGAGTAGGGAAGGAAGATGGGGGAGGACCAGTTGTGGAGACACAGGTGTGATTGTAAATAGGTGGTTCAGGCAACCCTCACTGAGAAGATAGCATTTAAATAAAGACCTAAAGGAAATGAGCAAGTAGCCCATGCAGAGACCTGGAGGAAAAGCATTCTAGACATAAGGAACAGTAAGAGCCTGAGTGGAAGAATACTGGAGATGAGTATTTACCAGCAAATCATGTCAGGCCTTGCAGGCCATTGTAACAACTCTGGCTTTTACCCACTGTGAGAAAGGAAGCCATTGAAGACTTTGAGCAGAGGAGTGACACATGACTCATTTATGTTTCAGCAGAATCATTCTGGCTGCTCTGTTGAGAACAGGTGCAAGAGGACAAGGGATGGGGGCAGAGAGACCAGTTAGGCAAGAGGTGATGCTGGCTGGTCCAGGTGGTAGCAGTAGAGATGACAAGAGATGAGGGAAACTTCTGGACATATTTTGAAGGCAAAGCCAACAGACTTCCTGACAGATTGGATGTAGGGTGTGAGAGAAAAAAATAAAGCGTTAAAGTGCTGTCCAGTTTTACATTGAATGGAGACATCGTGTCCTGAGATAGGTGGAGCAAGTCTGGGAGGGGGAAGGATCAGGGTTCCATTCCAGATTTGACATGCCCAGTCGACACTTGAGTAGGATGATGAGTAGAGAGGACTGAACCTTGAGACCCTCGAATGTAAATAGGTCAGAAACTAGCAACAGAGACTAAGAAGGAGCAGCCAGACTGAGAAGAGAGAACCAGGAAGTGTGATGTCTGAAAGCCAGGTGAAGAATGCATATCAGGGAGTGGGAAATTGTGAACCATGTCAAATACCACTGACAGGGCAAGGGAATGCATCGAGATTTCAGTACTGCATTGAGCAACAGGGAGGTCACAGGTGAGCTTGACGAGAGCAGTTTCAATGGACTGGTGGGGGCAAAAGTCTGACCAGAAAAGAGAATAGGGGGAGAAGAATCAGAAGCAGCAAATGTAGACAAGTCTTCCAAGGAGTTTGCCATAAAGGAGGCAGGAAATGGGACAGTAGCTGAGAGGAATGTGTGGGCAAATGAGTTTTGATTTTTAAAATAGGAGAAATCACAGCATGTGAGTTGTAGAGGGAATGGTCAATTACGAAGGAAAATCAAATGATTGTTGATGAAAGAGAAAGAAAGGGTGTGCTAGGTGAGGTGTGAAGAGGTCCCTGAGGACAAGTGGATGGGTTGGCCTTGAATAGGGACATGGAATTTCCATAGTAACTGGAGGGAAGGTGGAATATATAGGCACAGGTCCTGGTCGTTGGGGCTTGTGGAGATGTTCTTGTAGATGCTTCCATTTTTTCAGGAAAATAGGAAAAGTCTTCAGCTGGAGCTGAGTGGGGAGAATATAATAGTTGTCTAGAAGAGTGAGAAAGTGAATGGACTGGGGACATGCAGTAGAACTGCCAGTGGCACTAAGGGCCCCCTTGAATTTAACCAAGAACCTGTCAGCAGGCAGGTGTGGGCTCACACACACACACAGGCATTCACACATGGTTTTTCTTTTTTTCCCAACCCAATCCAACTGCCAGGTGCAAACATAGAACAGGCTAAGAGTTGGATTTGGCTGGAGTTGTTGTTTTACCACACAACCATGACAAAGTAACAAGAGGGTCAAGGGCGTGGAAGATTCAGGGAAGGGTATTCTAACTTTAATAACTGACAATAATTTTTCCCAATTTTCTATTAAGAAAATTATCAAATGAATAGGAAAATTGAAAGAGCATCCCTCCACCACACTTTTCCCCCTATGACACTGACTTTTTGAAGAGACCCGGTCAGTTATAAGATATTCCACATTCTGAATTTCTCTCACTGTTTCATCCTGGTGTCATTTACTATATTCATCTGTTCCCGGTATTTCTTATAAATGGAAAATTGGGTCTAAAGACTCAATTAGATCCAGGTTGCACATTTTTGCAGTAACACTTCAGTAGTACTAGGAACTTCATATTACATCACATGGAAGATGAGTAACAGGTTGTCCCACTAGCACTGACGTTAAATTTGATCACTTGGTTAAGTGATTACAGTAAGATTCGTCTTTTATAAAGATTGTTTATCTCTTATAGTCACCTATAATTTAAGCTGGGTAAGTGAAGATATTAGAGCAGTGAAGGACAGTGAAAAGGTGATAGGATTGATGGAACAGAATAGGCTTGCATGAGGCAAATGTTCTTAAATGTTTGTCACCAGCCGGGTGCGGTGGCTCGTACCTATAATGCCAGCACCTTGGGAGGTAAAGGTGGGCAGATTACTTGAGGTCAGGAGTTTGACACCAGCCTGGCAAACATGGTGAAACCCCGTCAGTACTAAAAATACACAAAAAAATTAGCCAGGCATAGTGGTGGGCACCTGTAATCTCAGCTATTCAGGAGGCTGTGGCACAAGAATTGTGTGAACCTGGCAGTTGAAGGTTGCAGTTAGCTGAGATTGCACCACTGCATTCCAGCCTGGGGGACAGAGATTCTGTTTCAAAAAAAAAAAATGGCACCAATGATTTCATTAATTGCCTCCTTATCACTGTTAAACCTGCCCACAAGTGTGCGAATTGTTTAAACCCAGAACTCAGGTGGCTTCTTCCTCATCACCTAAAAGCTTACTCTCTGGCTACTTTTCATTTTGAATGGACAATAGGTTTGCCATCTTTGGAGGTGTCTTTTGCCCTCAGTCACGCTTAATGAGGAATAATGACCCTAGTGACCAGACACCCAACACTATGCACTGTCCCTTCTGAGGTTGGGGACTCAGTTGGACTCTCCCCAGTGGTAAGAAATCCTCTCTCTCCCAAATAATCAGCATAATACTTGCTTCCAGCAGTGTTGCTGGCTGGCCTGCAAGCCAGAGCCAGGCCTGTCTTGACTGCCCGGAGGAGCTCTGGACTGGGGTTCTTAGCTCATCACTGACCTTCTCTTCTTCACTTTTCTGATTTACTCTGGTTAGATAAATCCAGCTTACTTTTAGTAAACGGCCTTGCTTTGAATTGCTGTTCTGTAGCCAGTCATCCATCCCCTTGCTTTATCACTTCTGCCTGATTAGCTTTGTCCCTTGACAAGTCTGAGCTTTGGATTCAAAATAGCTGAGATGTTGGTGCCCCCTAAAGGACATATGAATTTTTAAGTTTGGCTTTTTATTATTAATAACCAGCAAACATTTACTTGGGTGTGTTTTATGTTTGGAGTTTCTTATCTCATCTAAAAATTGATTAACAAGTTTTTTAATGAAATGGACAGGCCAATATGATTAATACAGGAAGCAAAAGCCCTAGGGTCAGAGCAGAAAAATAGTGTTCTGCTTGTCCTCTGAGTGCTTAAAATTTTTAGATATGAGTTTGTGAACAAAGAATATACAAATTACTTACTTTCTGCTTTAATTATAGGATGATGGAGGGGAAGGTAGTTTTCAAATATTTTAATTCATAACAATTTCATTCCTTCCTATGGCATAATTTTTCTATAGATGACAAAATTTGAACCATCAGACAAATTAATTCCCTAGAATACAAATGGAAGCCTCTGAATTTTTATTTTTGTTTTTGTTGTTAGGGAGAGGCAAACACGTCCAAAATTTAGGATTATTTGATGAATATTATCTGGAATCAGATCAAGAGAATATTTAATAGTGTTTTGATTTGAAAATATGGGGTTTTTTTCCTGAAATAAATGTCGAGTAAATAAGTTATTTATTTAATAATAACTCTG